CAGGCGGAGTGACAGGGTGGTGGGAGGTTTGTCCGAAGGCTGCAGCCGGAGTGAGAGGGTTGTGGAGGGTTTGTTGGATGGCTTCAGCCTGAGGGACAAGGTGGTGGGGGGTTTATTTGACGGTGGCAGTCTCAGTGCCAGGGTGGCGGGCGGTTTGTCTGGCGGAGGCAGCCTGAGGGCCAGGGTGGTCGGGGGCTTGTTGTTGGAGGGCTGCAACCTCAGGGCTACGGTGGTGGGGGGTTTTTCCGATGGTGGCAGCCGCAGCGCAAGGGTGGCGGGAGGCTTTTCTGGTGACTGCAGTGCGAGGGCCATGGATTGAGGTAAACTGTCCAGAGGCTGAACGCTCAGATCTGTGTCCGTGGGCGGCTGCTCTGGTGGCTGGGTGTCCTCACCATTAGCCAAGGCTTCTATGGGAGGCGCATACTCACGAATTTCTCCTGGCTCTAGAGGGTTAGGCCCGCAGGGATCGTGCTCGGTGCAACTTAAACGTCCATCCAGCTTGGAGATGAAGAGCATGCCTTCTCGGTGCTGCTTGCAGAAGGACCTGGGGCACATCTCGCAGAAGGAAGCTGCTTCCTTGCCACACATATCACACTGATGCCATGGGCACTCCCATTTTCCTGCAGCACAGACACAGGAGAAAAGACACACACCGTAAGAGCAGTACAAAGGGAAAAGATCAGGCCTGCTGCAAAAAGAGTTCAAGGGAGAGTAGGAACACCCCTGTAATACTCCCATAAAATTCTGCATGTCCTCCTCGGTTTCTGCCACAGCTCCTGGGCTCGACAGGCTGCTAATGGGAACCTGCGTCCTCAGAAGCAACGACGGCAATGACCATCATGACAAACACAAACCACACCAAAAGCCCATCTGGCTCCAGCAGGACACTTACCAATACAGGCACCTATAGAAGAGCAGACACCTCCAGCTTGCATATCTCTGTGGTCCTGATTTTCACATACAACAACAGTGATATCTGTGTACAATACACTCAACGAATATTTTAAGTACATGTGCCAGGTTTTTCTTCATTCTGGGCCCACAACTTCCCTTTCCGTTATCAGAAAGAAGTGAGAGGGCAGTGATCACAAGGGAGTAAGTTTGTATTGTTTCTGTACCCAAAGGCATCTTCCTTAACCTCTGTGTACGGCCATGACAAAAATACAAACACGAAACCAAGCTGCTCCCCAAGGAGCTCCATGTCCACACTGATTCTGTTCACCACCAGTATCAACACCACTACAGGGGAAAAAACACTACATCTCAAGATTCTGTCTTTTTTCACTTGCAGATGAATGACCTCACTGGTTCAGCCCCCTGCTCCCCCAGCCAAGGCTGCGGCTGTCTCTACCAAACGCTTCTCACCAGATCACGGGCCCAAGGAACAAGACCATTTGCGCTCAGGGTAACGATGCTGACTTCCTGACCTCTTGCCACAGGACCAGCACAGTTGCCTTTCCATACACCTCCACACTCCCCCAACACCCCACAACCCCACCTTCCCCTGCTGTCAGCTCCCTGCAGAGCAGCCCTCGCACGGGAAGCACAAGTGGTGACGAGAGAGCAGCCGAGGACACCAGCTGGGCCACAGCACTTCCCGGCCCTCTCTGAACCAGGCCCACACGTCTGCGGCTTTGGCCACCAGCTCCTCTCCAGGAAGGCTGGAAGAGAGCGCGACTGGGGCAGCTGTGGGCATTTCTACACGCACTTGTGCTCCCTCAGCCTTTTAAGCCCCTCTCTACACTGCTTTTGTGCTGGGGTTGAAGACAACACATAACATTTTTTTCCCCTCCTCTGAGGGGAGTCCAGGGCTTCTGTTCCAGTCTCAGAATGTGTACATCACTCTTCTGCATCTTTTCCAATTCTTCAGCATCCTTTTCAGAGCAGGGATGTTTAACACTCTGCAGGGCTTTCCCCCTTCCCAGGCTCAGGGTGCTGAGCACAGGCTGTCGCTGCTCCCCCTGCACCATTAGCAACCCAGGGAGCCGTGTTCAACGCTCTCTCCAGCTGCTGGGAAGACCCTGGGACTATTACTTCAGAGGTCATTTGCACAGATGGAAAATAAAGTAAGTCAGAACCTGCCAGTATGTTGCAGCAAGGATAAATCCTAACAAACCACTCTAATGGTCTTTGACAGGATAAAAGGCCTAATGAATAAGCAGCCTCTCCAGAGACAGCCCAGAGCTCTCAGAAGTAAGATCACACAATTAGTAACATGCAAACAAGCAGGAAATTCCAATTACTCGACAGCAATGCCCATGGCAGAGGAAACATTTGAAGTAAAAAGTGCTGAACCTTTCATGTCTCGCATGATACTCTAAGGAGTGGGCTATGAAAATAACAACCTACATGCAAAAAAGAGTAAAATGGGTACAAGTGACTGAAAATCATTCTCAAAAAACCAGCTATTAATGGACTTCTGGGAAACTGAGGAGGCGTTTCCAATGACATCCTTCCAGAGTCTATTTTAGCCTGTACTTCAGTTTAAATTTCTGGAAGCAGAACAGCAAATACTCTTACAGAAACAGGTAGATAACAAGATTTCGAGGGACTGCAAACCCCTTGTTACAGTCATAATGGATGCTCTTTCACCAACAGGGTACCGCTAATGATCTGTGCAAAGCAGGCCTGTGGGAGGAATAAAAATAAGTACGTGAAAAAGATCAAGACAAGGACTCAAGAACGATGGGGCAAATCAAAACCATAAAAGTTATTTCTGCAAAACAAGTCAAATCTCACTTACTGAGAAATTTTATGTAAAACACAAAACATAATTCCTCCCTTCTGCTGGTGTTAGCAAGATCTTGGCTGCAATACTGTTAAAATACTTGTTGTCACAGTTTAAAAAAAAGGGATAGGCAGGTGGGACATAGTCCAAAACAGACCAAGAACAATAATTACAGAAAAAAATAGCTGCAAGGAGGGGCTGCGTTTGTTCAAGCCTGATAAGGACTAAGCAGACAACAGTCTCCCACTATGTAAAAAAACAGATATCAGACAGATGGCAATACTTTTTCCAAGTTAGGTTGTTAGGAGGAACTTTTGGAATGGAAAAAAGAGGAACAGGCTAAAGGCTGGATTCTCTTTTCTTGGAGACTTCAGAGAACAGGAAAACCTGCTAGCGTGTTACAGCACCCTGTCTCAGCCCACAAAATTGAAAAGAAAGTTGATTTTCAGGACTCCCTCACCCTAAAGGATCAAGTTCCATAGGAATGACCTGCACTGCCCTGGGCTTTCACATTACGCTGTTAACAGCATAAGTTCAACGAGCAATCCAGGCTCTTTTGACAAATGCCCTGTTCTCCCCAAAACTCAATACATGCACACCCAGAATTTCTGTCATCTACAAAATATGCCACTATAGCCCTTCTACACCTTCTGCCAAATTACAGCGAGAAGTGCTAAATGCCCAGTTCTGGCTCCCTGTGTCACACCGACACAAACGTTCTGTCACTGTGACACTCCTGGCAGTTACTTTCAGAGCCTGCTTGGTTCCACATTGCTCAGCCTGTCTCCTATGTGCTCAGAAAACACTGTCCAGAGCTGCAGAGATAACAACTAATTACAACAACGCTTACAGTATTAAATCAAAATATTTACAGCTCCCTAAACAAATTACTTCCATGCAGTTGTCTTTATGAACCAAATTTATTATCACAGCAAAAAGCTCTAAATCAGGTTTGATGAGTTATTCTACCTAAAACCTTGTAATGTAGCACTGCAGATATTCTTACCACTTGATCTTGTATCAGCTCTTCCACACTCCTGGCCTGCCAGGACTCAGCCCAAAGTTTTTTCACTTTCTGAGTTAAACCTGAACACTCATTAAAGGTTGCAGGAACACCTTTAGTAATCAAGACAAACTGAACCAATAGGAGACATTGCCCTTATCCAGCTCCTTCAAGACTTTTAAATGCAATGTATCTTTTCCTCCAATAGCAGCTAATTCACACTTTCTGAGCTACTCACACACTAGAAACGGTTTTATCACTCGTCCAGGGAGCCTGTTTCTTTCTCAGCATCCGTCTAGATGCATTTTTTTAATATTTTTTCATTTTATTTCAAACTTCTGTCTTCATTTTACCACAAACTAGGATATGCTTTGACACCGCTCTCTTCCTTAACTATGAACTCATGGCTATTCAGACACCTAACACTCTTCTGAACTCCTGTTTCCTATCACTGCTTTTCCTCACCATTTAACCCAATGGTCAATCTGAGCAACAAACACCTCAAGTTTTGTTGGGACTGCCCTGTCAGGGGGGGGACTGCCCCAAGGATGGTGTCAGCTCACCAGCATTACTTTTTTAGGCAAGGACCAGCTCTCCCTTCATTTAATTCACCTTTTGGCAGTCACAGTAGGGTTGTACAGCGCGGGGGAAAAGGCCTGTCCGAGTGAGAGAGATTTGAAGAGGCTGTGAATTGAGCGCAAGGTGATGAGCAGTGCCTGGGACACCTCAAGCCAACCCGGTGACCCGAGCAGAGCCCAGCCGTGGAGCCCGGAGCAGAGCACTGACCTGCAGGTCTCTTGGTCAGGTTGAGGCAGTCTGCGTGGTACACTTTGGGGCAGCCTGGCTTCTTACAAGAAACCAACTGCCCTCCGTCCCCACAGCTGAAACACTCATCCTCTCGCTCCTTCATCACCTCCGCCTGCGACCTGCGCTTCATCTGCGGCCGCCTCTTGACCTTCTTGGACTTCTCCTCGGTGACAGCGGGTTGGCTCTGCAGGTGAGACAATGCCAGTTAATGCAGATCCTTGTCCCTTCCAGCTACAGGGGAGACAACAGCAGACCCTGCAAACAAAAATCCCACTGCCAGACATACCTGAAACATATGTAGTAGCTCTACAGTGCTGCTTAATATTTGGCAACTAATTTACCACAGCAAATAGTTATTTTTCTCTCTCTCCTTTTTTTTTTTTTTTTTTTTCCTCAAGAGCCTGGAAGCCCTGCACCAAAGCCTGGTTAAATACAGGATATTTACAATTAGCAAGAGCAGAATGAGGAGCCAGGGGCTGCCCAGTGTTGCTGAGCTCATGCCACCTGTCACAGACTCTTCAGATCCTCAGTCAAAGCAGTCAGGTCTCCTTGCACCCACGACTCTTGAAGAGTCTCTCCCAGGCTTTCCTGCGCTTTTTGACGTTCCTCACTCCTCTCTCCATCTTCACTCTGAATTTATCTGTGATCAGTTTAGACCTGCCCTCATGTCAACGCTTCTCTTTTCCAGCAGTTTTCCCCTCTCCCTGTAGTAACCACCAGGACACACTCTCCTCACAAACCAAACACTTTCAGTCTCCACCCTCGGTCTTCATAACAGCCTTTTTACCACCTCCATTGAGCTTATTTCTCCCAAACACAAGTTACAGAAATATATACACTACTTAAGATGAAGCTCCACAGGCTGTGTACAGTGACACCAGCACTTCTCCAAAAGAGCAGCAAATCCCTCACAAAACACGGCCGGTATTTGTCTTTTTCACAGCTGCCTCACAACAGCAGCTCAGTCCTGCGGCAGCAGCTCCCCAACAGCTCCTTCGCCTCCGTGGCTGGTCACTGATGATCTTTAGATTTGCTTCTGCTGTTACCCTCTGGCTGTGTGCTCTAGTGCATCGAATCCCCGAGCTCCAGTTATACTCAGCGACTTCTCTGCAACTGCCCCATCCTCTCCCACATCTTTGTGTCATCTGCACAGTTAAATTATCACCCTCCAACAGCTGTGTTACAGGCAGTGATGAAATAATCACAACTGGTCCTGAGACTGGCATCTAAATGGCTTAAGTGCTCTCTCCTCTGGCCCAAGGCTTCCTCCAACACCGCCCCCACTCCAGGCTGGGCCCTCAGACCACTTTGATCTTCTCTCGACTAAGTCTCTGGTGATACCAAACACTCAACTCCACAAAGATGATGCTACCTGGCCCCAGTCAGTGACCTTATCAAAGCACTTGGTTTATCTAAGCAGAGGTGAGCTGTATTTTATGCCATAAAACACGCCTGTGTGCCACCAGGGAGTTAAAGCTCTTGATTGTTTCCTTCCCCTCCACATGTGGCTATTTCTGTTTTCATCTCATCATGCCCATTGTCAACTGGGACAAACCAGGCCCTTCTTATCACTGAGAATGCAGGTGGCAAAATCGCTCCACCTAAACTATTCCACCTATTCTCAGTGCCTCTGCCAGCCAATTACAAAGACAACAAGAAAAACCTTTCACAGTTGATTTGAATGTCTAAGCAATGTCTAACAGCTGGACTAAGTGATTTGCACTTGCTCAGTGCAGTACAATAGACTCCCAAGTATTCTTCCACACTTCCAGTTAGAAAGGTCACTTTTAAGAGTGAACTTGAGTATAATTAGTGAAGTTTTATCTTGCTGTATCTTCAGAAACCTTAAAAATGCATGTATTATGGGATGAATTGAAGACAAAACAAAAAGACAACCCCCAACATACTGTTTTCTTGGGTGTTGTTTCTCAGCCTATCTCATCAAGATGGAATGAGTTGCCTCAGGCATCGAGATGGAATATTAATGACAACTAAGGGGCACCTTTCTCTGATTTCCATCACGCAACCCGCAATTTCAAGGCAAAAATTACAGCCAAGCCATGTATAACACCCGAGCAGCACAAAATCAATTTAAGTCGCGAGCCAAAAAAGAGCTAAATACATCAGGTGTGCAATTCACCTCATCTGTCAACTCCTGAAGACATCAATTTATTTTTTTTTCCCCAGAAGTTAATTTTCTGCAGAACTAAGCTCTCTGGAGAATTCACAAAACCTCCCCTATATATTGACAGGGGTTAACAAACGTGCTGCTGGAGCTTTTAACCCTTAACCACGGGTAAGCAAGCCGCCAGTACCCACATGCCAGAGCAGAGGGATTAGAGACTGATTCTGTGAAGCTCTTGAAACAAACCAACAGCTGAGACATAGATTTCGCTGGCAACAGCTGGGAACTCGGCCAGCTGCTCCTGTTATTTCCTTTTCCCAGCGAGAACCAGCTCACACAAGAAGGTAATTGAAATCAATTCCTGTTACTGTGACATTACACTTACAACACGAAGGTCTCAAAGTTGGTGCGTTCTAAAAGCTAGTGATTTTTCGACTTCAGATACGGCAAATTTCTTATTCCTGTCTGATGTGTGCATTTCAGCCACTTAATCAAAAGAAGGAAAAAAGCCCAGGAACTTTCTTATTGCAGCAAAGATGGTGATATAGAAGCCTTCCAACTCCACAGCAACTCCAAGTCTGAAGGAATGTGATTTTGCTGGCCTTCCACGCATGCTCACAATTTGCTCAGGCCTTTCCTTTGGGAAACGTGGGGGTCTTTCTGGTTATACAAGAGCCTTTCCCATGCCTGCCCTTTGCCCCTCTGATGTGATGGAAATTGGAAGCAAAAAATTCTGAAATAAAACTTTCATTTACTCTTCCGTTGTAAAATACAACGTCTTGTCATTATTTATAGCAACTCTAGCAAGTCTAAGATCTGCACTCTCAGAACGAGAACTTGGATATCCAACTGATTTCAAGCAGCGTTTTCATGGCCCCTATTGAAACCAAATTACCCTTCCTGAGATATCTGCAACAAATGGTACACATCTACACAAGGAGGTAATAATTTGGAAGAACAAAAGCTTAAATTAGGCATCATACCTTTGGTCGTACTCCTAGGAAGCCACTGCAGTTTGGGGCACCACATTTACAAACTGTCTTTCCATTTCCCAAACACTCCAGATTGTAGTTGAAAGTCAGCTCAGTCCCTGGCACAAAAGCAGATCAAAACCAACCAAGTCGTAACGAACCACAGAGCAGAACATCTTACTACTGAAGTAAAACAACTTTTGAAACACAACGACACAAGTGACTGGCACAACTCTATGAGGACAGAAACTATTAATCTCCCCACAGAGCTGCACGGATTGAAAATTCAGTGCAACCCCACACTCTTACCACATACTGCAGCCAAAAAGGACATTCGACCCCACTCTATAGCATGCTCAGTTACATTTTTCAATCCTGTAAATTAGAACTACGAAGCTCCATTTATACCATGGATGCATATGTTTCATTACATCAGGGCTGGTGTTACATCTCGCGAGTGCCTATGTGAAAACAAAAATTAAGAATCTTCCCAGGGAGCTACAAACCCTCCCCCTTGGTTGCAGAAACACTCTCATGCTCTTAACGGCCAGTGCTGACAGAGCGGGGATCCTTACCAGCTTTGATATTTACAATTGCGAAGAGCCCGACCCGCGTGTCGCCGTTCACACACCACTTCTGAGTCTCGCAGTTTGGCTGGCAGCAGTGGTTCATGAACCGAGCGTAATTGCCTTTTGGCCCAGCATCAATGATTCGATCCTGCAGTGAAAAACAAAACAAAACCAGACTTAATAAACTGTTATTTCCTGCTCAAGCTGCTGCAGCACAGCCACCTTTACACCAGGAGAGCACTCAATAGCAGCGAAAAGTATATCTGGAGGCATCTGACGACCCTTGCAAAGCACTGGAGTTCATATACATGTTTTAACACATGTGGTAAGTGTTGCTGTGTTGCCTGGATGAGCAACAGACGCCCAACCAGTTTCCACACATTGACCTCTCTGGCCGGGGCTGGCAGACCATATAGCCAGACAGCGTCCTGCGCATCATTTTCCTCTTCAAAGACACACGGGCTCCCAAACACATCAGGAAAATGCTACTCTGCTACTCCCTGCAGTGTCAGTACCAGATAAACACTGCACCAGCACACTCCCAAGGCAGCACTTGTGGTTCCAGACTCCTACTTCTGCTTACAAGCAAAATACCAGTTCCTATTTCTTGCATGTCAATGCACAGAAGGAAAAATAGGAACAGTATCTAACGCAAGGCTGCTCTGTACAGCATCCTCTCATTTCTTAGAATGCATCAGAGAGGAGAGGGTAGCTGCAACTGAGATTTGGTTTTGTACTAATGAGAGATATTAACACTTGGTTTTGTCCCTGTTCCCACCCATCAGCCAGACGAGGAGAACGAGACAGAGTCAGTGTAAATTTCCAGCAAGAAGTGGAGAGAGCCAGAAAGTGGTGACATTTTTATCCTGTCCCACACTCACCAGCTTCTTCCTGTGCCTGCCTTCTCAGATTCCTTCTAATCTTTCCAAGGTTGAGTGACAATGCGTGGAAAGCAGCTGACAAAACTACTTACCTCCGAAAGCCAGGAGCTCACACCAACCACCCGGCCTCCAGGACCCACTGAGGAATCTGTATGTGCAACTCCACCCTTCTACTTAGATCAGCAAGACCTGGGATCTGAACTTCAATGAGGGTCTCACTGTGCCTGATATTTAAACACCCGAGGACTGACGCCTGCTCTGGCACACACCAGTCCAGTTCTGGACTCTTTATGGTTCAGCTGGTGGGAGGGGTCCAGAGTTTACAAAATTCACCCTGTTATGCTGAAGCACGGTCTACGATCCTCAGACAGTTTTACTCAGACAACTGCCTCACCTCTTCTGAATGAACTCCAACAGTCGGTTCAGACTTTGTTCCTAATCCTAATACCCAGTGTTAAATCCATTCTTTTAGTTTTCTCTTTAGTGGAAACACAGACCAGCTCATCAGCAACTCTTACTTGCTGGAGAAGACCACTACGATGCCTTCCTTGAAATCATTTTACTTCTGTCTATGATGCTGGTGAGACAAAATTTGTTCCACATACCTTATCCAGTGTCAACATATAGAAATTGGTGATGTCATGCTCCTGAGCATAGCGAATTCGGGCTCGGCACTCCTCTTCATCAATTAGCTCCCCGACATACTCATTAACAAATTCACCCTGCCAGAGAGAAAAAAACAACCTGGTAAGTCAAGACAAATTCCCTCCAGGATGGAAGGACATCAACCTTTGTGCTAAAACCTTGTTCCTGCTTCCTATATGGAGACCTTCTCACAAAAATCTTCCTCTATGCTTTCCAGCCAGTTTGACCTATACTCTTCACCAAGAGCCTTGAATCACGTCTCACATACTCAACAAATAACGTGGAATAAATTAAATAAAGTAACATTGGTCATCAGATTCTTCTTTGTGCTATGGAAAGAATTAACATAACTGCATCCAAGCTCTAAACAACATCCCTTTAGGGTCCAACCACACTGAGCGATAGGATGCACCTCGGGCTGCTCCTGCAGTGAATCCATAGAGCTCCCCTGTAGCAAAGTACGGCAGAGATGGTATTTTAACGGTCAAAGGGAACCCCAGCCCTCCTCCATCAGGTCTAAAAGGTGCTTCCATTAGGCTACCAAATTTTGTTGTTCCCAGACTGTCAGCTGGAAGTGTAACAGAACAGGCACATGGGATGGCAGACAGATCCTTTAGCCTGTAGTAGGGCAGGCAGCAAAACCTAAACAGGGTAGGCTCACATTTTTCTACTATTCTCTGGATCTTCACCATCTTCAGGCCGGTGATTTGGTGTGCTCATAAAGCCCATTGTCTACACAAGCAGGCAGACTGAGCAAGCATCTTTCTTACCCCATGGGACGTCAACATGCAAACAGTTTTCCTGGTTAGCTGAGGCAAAACATTGTTGTTGGGACTGAAAAAGTTAAATTCAATCATTTCTTTTCTAAGTGTCATTCTACAGCAAGAAGTCTCCTTCAAATTATGGAAGTCAGTAATTTTTTTAATCTCTTGAAACCAACACTGAGTAAGAGAAAAATCACATGCAGAAACAGAGTACGTACCTTTCTGATATCTGTTTTGGCTTGCAAGCCCCAGCCTCGTGCCAGCGTGCGGAAGATCTGTACCTCAGGGTACTGCCGCTTGGAGAAGCACTGGTTCTGGCAGCGCTCCCCAGCGGGGCACACCATGGGGTGGCATTCGTACAGCAACATGCGGTTGATGCATTCTGAGTCCAGGCCACACGGGTTTTCATCTGTCGGTTTGCAGTTGCAGCGCGGTATCTCGGACAGGTCTGCAGTGAAGATCTGCACCTTACCCACAGGCCGGTTCACCTGGAATGCACAGGAAGGAAGGATGTCAGCTTTTAAGGACACATCCCGACAGCCACTTCTAGACTCACCCCTTGCCTACCAGCCAACAGGCTGCAGTGCCAGGTGGTCACAGCAAGGGGCAGAAGGACACAAGCACAGGCACTCATGTACTTTCAGCCACATTATTTCAAAAGGTACACAGATGGAAAAGCTAAGAAGGTAAGAAGGATGCAGATCCCCCAATTAGCATTGTCTGGTACAATGTACCCCGGAGAGGGGAGAGGCTGCCAAATGCCTCCCTCCCGTCACCTCTGTATCTACTACACCCAACTCAGGTGGCCCAAGTGCTCTCGTTGGGTGCACACTGTACCTGTGACCAACACCAAATCATTTTCTGCGTGAAACAGCACCTCCTCCAGTCTCTAAGGGTCAAGTCCTTTTCCTCACAGCCCTGTTTTTTGAATCTGTTACCTTCAAGCTCGTTTTGCTCTCAGCTGTCACTACAGGAACCAGGCACACATGCCCATGACAGAGCACAGAGGACCTACCTATGCACCAGGCCACAGGCAGTTAGCTCCCTACCCCATTGTCTTGCAGGTGTAAATGAAAAGAAAAAAACACAAAGCCCAAAGAGGAGCTCAGAGTTAAGCCAAGGAGCTCTCTCAAAACAGCTCCAGAAGGAAGCAGAGTGCAGCACCAGGTGGAGAAGTGACTGGCTGTCTGTGGCATGAGCAGGGTCCTTTGGTTTTGGTTAAAGGCAGCAAACGCTGAAAAGCAGGCAACAGAGAGCCAGGACTTTTGAGAGAGGTACTGAAGAGCTCCTTGCTGTTCTTTGCCTGGAAGAGCATTATCATCAGCTCCCTTTCCTAGGATACGAAAGGATGGGGTTCATTTAAGCAAAACTATTCCAGCCCCCATACAATTTATCTAGTCCCACCCACTGAGCAAAGTTTTCGAGCTGGCAGCCTGCCTGAGGCTGACCTAGCTCTGACTCTCACACCTCTGTCTAAAAGCAAACCCTGCAGAAATGCCTGAATCATCACTCCAGCACAGTCTCCCCCTTCCTCCTCACCCTGCCTCCCATCTCCAACCTTCCTTGTCACTCTTGTATTCTCCTCCGCTGCCTCTCATCTCTTACTCAGACTGTTAAGCTCATCACCTCGTAAAGGGTGATGAGACTTGTAGGATTAGGAACATCCACCACCAGGCAGACAGAGGTGTCCAGGCTGGCTCTGGCCCTACCACCCCAAGCACTCACAGTGTCGCAGCACAGTTGTCCCTCTCAGCACACACACATGCCCAGCCGGCCTGCCCTACAATCTGAGGCACAAAACCAGCTCCAAAACAGGGAAATGCTTGGACTAGACCCAACCCTGACATGATAGAGGATCCCAAGTCTATTTTGCAGCAGGCTCTTGTGTTGGTGCTCCTTGGGATGCACCCTGAGGTGTTCGTCTCTTTAGAAGGCCCATATAGGGGTGGACACAGCCAGCTTTGGCCACTCCGCCCTGAAGCCTACCCCAGTTCACTGTACGCTCCCACAAATTGCTTTGCTTTCACAGAGACAAACAGCTTGCACCCAGACCTCAGAAGAGGCGCCATGGCTAACGACCATAACTGTTATTTATATTAAAAGGTTGTTTTCAAAGGCTCCAAACTGCTTTCTAGGTTCCTTCATGTTGCAGCCAGACACAGGCTTAAAAATACCTATAACGAGAAACTGTATTTCCTCCCCTGAAGCTGCTTGGCCCATACTGCTGCCACAGCATGCAGTGGTGTTCTTCACACGGGGCACTAATCCACGTAGGGCACACCCACCTGTCTAGAAATCCTAGCTAGAAACAAAAAGCACCAGCAATGACTTAAGCCTTTGTGGTTTGCCACATAAAAGAGGGAAGGAGCAGACAGAGGCAATGAAAAAAGAATCCCTGTGTTTCTGATCAGTCTGGACCCACATCTCAAGCACATGCACCCACCTGGCCCCAGCTCTCTCTTTTAAGTCACCTCCACCCTGTAGGACTTCTATTGCTGCTCCAACTCTACCTCAAAATACAGCCCTACACTAAAGAGTTTTCCAAAACTCAGCAAAAGGCCCAATACTCCAGCATGCACATCTACTTTAGTATTTCTCCTCAGTCACTAACTAATACAGCAAGAGATATAAAACAACAGCAGAGAAGAAATGATATACTGTGGGTTAGCACCCTCCACACAGCTCTGCTCCGCTGCACCACCGGGCTGCCCACTTTGCCATGAGCAGCAGGCAGTACTCGAGCACCCTGCCTATTGCCAGCACTCTCCTCTACAGTCTCAACATAGAGACGCTTCCTTCAGACCACACAACTGACACAGAACAGCGCAGAGATGTCCAGATCTGTTCCAGTAAGTCAGAGTACCTCTGTTACTGGTGTCCAGCCTCCATACAGCTCTGTGGATACATGAATCGTTTCTGTGGAGGATGACTGAAGATGCCAAGAGGACCAAAGTAACCTTCAAACGCAGCCAGACGCCCAGATTGTTTCTGTATACCTGTAAATCACCTGCTCTGACAGCTCAAGACTTCTCTTCTGCACCTGTTCCCCCCACTTGCCCTCACCTTGATGTGTTTGTAGGGAGGAGGTTTCTTGTCATTCTTTTTGTCTTCTTGAAGCTGTCTCAGCTCTTTCTGTGCCTTCAACTCTTCAAATCTTACTGCAGCTTCCTGAAGAGCTAAGCGAGAGAACACTTATGTGTCATGAGGAACTCCCTCTGCTTGCAGGGAGCTGGGCTGCCAGTGTCCACCCCACACTCACAGCTCCACAGGGAACCTCCCCAGCTGTGTGCTTCAGAGGGAGAGGTTCACCAGAGGGTGAAGATCTGGCCAAGGCCACAGGGCAATCCCAGGAGTTACAGTAAGGGACGTGGTCCATGGGTGAGGAAGCATCCGAACTGTCAGCTAGCTTTGCCTGCTTTTTGGGCTGAGGTGTGGGGCAGCTGCATTCACAACTCAAGCACATTTTTATACTCAGATAACAGTTGTTTCAGACACAGGGAAGCTGTCAAAGCAGCAGCTCACTCAGGTTTAGATGGGCTATGTCAGAGCTAGAGAAGCATTCAAGATCTGCACACCCGTCTGCCTCTCTGGGAGACAGACTAACAAACATCCTGAGTACGCTGGATGACAGGTCAGCAGCAGCTCATTCTACAAATTTAATTTCGCTTTAGGTCTAAGACGACATTTTTCTCTGTTACAAGAATGCCACTTCGCCAAATGAGAATGAAGAGAAAAAGAACATGTATCTCCCTGGATGAAGCCAAGTTACCTTTCTTGTATATGCCATCCACGCCCTTCCCCATCTTGTCTTTGCTGCTGACGTCACCTTCCATGTAAGGGAACACACGGGCCTGGTGGGTCCACAGGTAATCCTTGGAGCCGAAGAACAGCACAGGGAACTCACCAATGTCGTGTTTCATTTTCTGGATGTTGACAGGAATTGTCCTAGGATGGCAAATCTCAGCTGGCCACCACCTGTAACACAGGGATGGGCAGATGAAACCTCTGGCTTCTTCATTTCCAACCACCTCAGAAATATACTACTGCATGGAGACATGGGGGAAAGTTGTGCAAAGGCTACAGCAAGACTGGTGGGGAGACAAGAGGCTACTGGAAGAGGAAAGCACGGATTTTACCGGCTGCTACATGCATGCAAAAAGAGCCAGAGGCTGCTGCACTGCACCCTGCAGAGAGGAGCTTCTCACCTCAATCATCATGAGCCCTGCATGAAGAAGTGATGGGGACAAGTCTGCTCTACCTTCACCTACCTGTAGCGCCCAACTTTCACCCAGACCACTTCCTTGTAGTGTGGTTTTTTGCCTGCCTTGCAATCATTACAATACCAGCTTCCCTCTGGCATCTCAATGTTTAGACACTCACGGTGAAACGCAGCCGGGCACGACTCGCAGCATAAAAGGCTGCCCCCTGCAAAGAAAAGGAGAAGGAATTAATCAGTCAACGTGCACAAGCCCTGGGCTCCACACTTCCAGACAGACACAGCCAAGAAAAGGGCACAATGCTCTTCCGCAAATCCTGCTGTGCCCTATCCACGCTGCAAAAAGAATCCTTCTGAGGATCCAGAAAATGTCCTGGTCTGAAGTTGGACTTAAATGGGGAGGGACAAGAAGATGATCTGCTCTCTGCAGTTCTTTGGCACACACCGGACAGGGAAAGCTCCCACCTACTCTAATGACTTCTCGTCAGAGCACTCCTTGGTGACGGAGGACCCAGCGCAGAGCATCTCACCTTCCGAGCAGACAAAGCACCAGCTGACATTGACGTGCTCATGGTTGCGGCAGCCCCTCCGTGCGGTGAAGTGATTGGGGCAGATGATGCTGTTGGAGGCGAGGACCACGGACCCAGCAGCGAGGCAGAAGTCGTTGGAGTGGTACGCAACCGGGCACCGCACGCAGCGCATCAGGCGACCTGGTACCGAAACACGTCGGGAACACGGTGAACCTCAAAAGCAGGACAATTTTTTGTTTCCTGCCAAAACTAGCCTCTATAGATAACCAAGGAGCCAACTATAAGCAGCCATAGATGATCTTTGGAAGAGGAAACTGACCTTTAATTTTTATACTGTCCACGACATACTCGGTAGTTTCCTATCACATTATTTACTACAACACTATATATATGATTAAAAATATATTTGAATATAACATATATAAAACTGTATTATTTAGAAGTGAAAAACCTTCTGCATGCTGTACAGAAACAGTTCAAAAGTTCACAGACTGCAACTGCTTCCTATCATACACAAATAATTAGTAAATCAGCTCAGACAGTAATTACAGAGGGGGTGTTCCAAGTGCTTAGCTGCACATAATGAAACAAATCCATGTAGTTCCCAAAACATCGGCACTTGTCTCTCCACTTTACCAGATTTTACCCTGAAATTGCAGAATGAAGAATTCAGAATTACCTACAGACCTAATTTACTCAAGGTTTTTGAAAGCCTGTTTTCAGCTCCTCACAGGAGACTACACACAGGGAGAAGAGGTGCGAGAAAAGGGGCAAGTCTGACCACTGAGAAGCAGCAGCCAGAGGAACACAACACAAATGTTCAGTGATCAGCTGTGGGCTTTCAGCCTTAGTGTTGTTTTTGACACCAAATACTGATATATGGGAGACAAGGGAAGACAACAACTTTAACACAAACATTGAGGATAAAACTAGAGCTGGTGTTATGGTCACTGGTCTTAAGATAACAGAGATTTATACAAAGGTAGCTTTAGAAGAAAATACACAAGGCAAATACATAAAAATTTTAAGTTTAATCATGTGAGATAAAGGTCAAGGTATTGCTGCAAACAGCTCAAGCAAATCTTTGCCTGAGAAACTCAGCCCAAGGCTGTCATTACTGCAAGATGAGGGTTTGCATTATTTTAAAAAAAACAAAACCACAAAAAACCCCTAGAACAGTATCATAGCTTTTATTATGCTGCTCTCTATGCCTTGATAGCCCCCATCTGCAGCCCTGGCACAGTGGAAAGCAGGTAGGAGAAACACGAGAGTGTCTGCACAGACCACAGGCTTATTGAAAAACCCAGAGGCACGTGGCATCGCTGGATGTGCAGGCATCCAAGGTCTGAACAGGCGAGAACATTTCAGCTGCCATGTGTGATCATCAGGAGCGCTGATGAGCAGGAACCTCACCTACCGACACCACCCTTCCACCCCCAGAGAGAAACGATTCCTCAGCAAACGCCACAGTAAGCACCGTGGCAAGATGAGAAAACCACCAAGAACAACTAACTGACTGCACGTGGGACATGAAGCAAAGAAAAACCTTCCACCTCCATCCCCTAGACCATGCTAGAAGATTCCAATACCTTTAGACGCAGAGATGTTTGCTGGGTTGGCAGCATGGCAAGTCATGCAAATGTGCAGGGAGCATCGGAAGCCCTTGTTCTGCAGGACGGTGGGCGGGTACTTCTGTATGCAGGCTTCATGGTAATACTTCCCACAGAGGGGCAGCAAGCACCTTTTGACATCCTCCCCGCAGCTCTTGCACACAAAGCAGGTGTGGACCCCTGGAAAAAGAGCAGCAGCCGTTAACACTAGTCACAGAGAAAGGCTAAATGAAGACACTTCCATCAGGCTGCGTGTTAGCACAGAACAACTTGCCAACCTGCTGCATCAACATCCTACCCCAAAGGACAGCTCTCTGCAGCAGGCTAGTTTTGCCTGCAGCTGCGATAAAACTCTAGATTGAAAAAAAAAGATCATTATAGTTATGATTTCAGGCTAGCAAAAAATAGAAGGAAACTAAAAATAAACAACTTTACTTAGACACTCCCCCCCCATTTCCAGACTGCTCCAGGCTCACCTTCCCCAACTCCATGTGTTGCCAGGTCTAGTCGAGAGGTGGCGCCCCTGCCCAAAACAGGGAGGTTGGACTAGATGATCTCTAAGGTCCCTTCCAGCCTAGGCCATTCTATGACCTATGATGCTCTAACTGCCTTCCCTCTCCCTAGTCCCAGATAGATAAGAATTTCCCCTTCTCTTTCCCACCACATCTTAGACAGTCACTTCTTCACACCCCACATACCTGAATGAACAGCAAAATGAGTTAAGTAAAAAGTCATTATCGAACATCTAACCAATAACCAAAAGACTGAGAGCTAGTTAGTGGTGCTTCTTGCTGGCACATCACTCCATCAGCGGATGCACCAGGTAAGCATGCAGCAAGCACTCTGTCTTTCAGAGCTCAGTACCTGTGGAACACTCGTTGCAGATGAATTTGCCCTTTGGCATCTCGGAGAGCCCAAGGCACTGCAAGTGAAAAGCACCACAGCACTGTGCCTCACACAGCAGCAGCTCCCCCGGCTTCTCGCAGATCTGCAGGGAAAAAAAACACAACGTCAGCCCTGAGCAACCTCCTTCCCCAACTCATCTCAGTGACAATCCATGTGCTGGCCCGGACTGCCAGAGAGACCTCTGCAGAAAAATGCTAAACTTTCCTTGCATCAGTTAAATCAGGTGGTTTATGCATCACCGTTGCCATTTGCCACCCAGTCCCTGGTACCACGCATTGGTTAAAACGACACTGGTCATGTCTCCCTGCCATCTATGGACTTTAGCAGGAGGACAGGAAATCACAGAGAGGCAATAAAAATCTGGCTAATTCTACGATAAGCACCTTAAGGACACCTGATCTTACCTGGGGCACTTGCGTGTCTCCAGAACTTACAGTAAAAATACTTTACAGTGGTAAAGTCTCAAAGAGATTTCTTCAAGGACGTTACCTGACACACGTTCTCCTTGAGTGCTGCTCCTCCTCCACGCTCTACCTGCATCTTTTTGGACGAAGGCACACCATGGTCATTCTCTGACCCTTCTTCATTACCCTCTTTGGGGCTTGCAGCAGTCCCATGAACTGATGTCTCCCCCTTCAAAAAGAAATCCAGAATCAGGGCTGCCAGTACATCCTGTCCTGACTCGGAAACTAAAAGTTCAGCCATCGGTCTGTGTGTGCTACCCACCCTGGAGAGAACATACCCCATCAGTTCCACCAAGACTTACAAGGATGGAAAGAGCTCTTAGCTTACTAGATCATAAAAAAAAAAAATACACTCAATACAATTATTTTCCTGTGCATAACCCCCCTCTGAAGAAGCAGTTGTGGCTGAGGAAGAAAGGTATTATCCTGCACAGAAAGAAATCAGGAATGCTGGAATAGTCTGAGGCACCCTGCACGCTGCAATCTGCTCGCACTGAAAATGCAGATGAAAAACTTCACACAACCTTTACTGCAGTTGTCAGCCAGCAAATAAACCAGACTTTTCCCCCCAGTTGTCTCAGCTTGTCCTAACCCACGTAAAATACGGGCATGTAGGTATTCAACACCTGTGTTAGTATGAACCAGCCAGCCAACACCAAAGTGACCAGGGCAGCATTTACACCATCGTCCTGCCTGGGGCATCGAGTCTTTCACACACATCTGATCGGTGTGTTAGGACAGCGCTGACTCCAACATGTACTGGTGAGAGAGCACCGTGCGAGAACCTGGGTTCAAACGATAAAGCCCCAGTCACATCTTTGTGGGCCAAGTCAGGGATCCTGCCATAAGGCTGCCCAAGGTGGAAGGATGCCTTCGGATGTGCCCATGGGACCTGCCCAGACACTGTCACAGGGAAGGAGAGAAGCAGGTATCCTACAGACATCGGTTTCTACCAGAAGCTACTGCTGTCATGGAGCTGCACACGGCAGCACCACCTTCGCTTTCGCCAGGAGTCAGCTATGAGCTAGGGAGCACCACCCTGCCAGCTTCTAGGCCTCTCGACTCTCACCAGCCCCAGCGGCCACTCCAGACTGGGTATGCCTTAAGCTCCGTTATTAATGCTGTACCAAAGTGATGACTTTAGCCAAGTGCTTTGAACAGGACCATTTTAAGGACTCTGCCATTTTTCTATAGCCCAGCTCACTGCAGTTACCTGAGCGACCGCAGTGTGCAGCTGCCAGTTTCTCCTTGTGTCACCAAGCCGCATCCAGTGCATGCTCAGACACAAACTGTACACCTGACAGACCTCATGAGGAATTAAAACTGCTGGCAGGGGCAGCAGCAATCACTCTCATACCTTCAAGCCTGCTAATTATCACGAGGAGCTTTGCATCACTTCACGTATGAGAGAGCATCAGCCTGAGTTTTCAGTCTGAGCAAAACAGGGACATAAAGATCTCCCAAAGTTTAAAGCTGGGAGAACCTGGAGCTGGTCATTCTGGTCAGATAATGATGCTTCCTCGGCTTGTTCTGTTGGTTGGTTGGTTTTAGGTTTTTGGGTGGGTTTTTTTGGTTTTGATTTTTAATTCCCTAAAAGCAGAAGTAAGAATTTATTTGGAGACATTTTAAAGGCATGGGAGTTTTGTGGAGCAATGATGCACAGGCGCACTGACAGTATATTAAAGCACACAGTACAAAGATGAATAGTATAAATTGCCTTTATCGAGCACCAAAAAAGGAAAGTCCCAGCTACAAACTACTGCCAGTCCAACACGCCATACAGGGTACAGCCTTACAGATCTACCAACAATCTCACTGGAAGGCTGGCAGCAATGCAGCCTGTGGGAATACTGGCAATGAGCACGTAAGCTGCTGCCACCCTACCACAGCCCTAGCAGAGGGAAGGGAAAGGTCTCTCCAGCATCAGTAAAACAACCATCTAAGAACACAACAGCCACCTTTGCCTCTACACACAATAGCACCTTCCCAAGCTACGTGCTACGATACTTCTGCTCCTGCTGCTGCATTTCTGCTAGGAATTACACAGGCTGCTGCAAGGCAGCCCTCTGGCCTAAACACTCATTCTGGCTCCTGGAATGCTCCAGGAGCAGCACCAGTGAGCAGTGCTCCAAGGACTGGTTACAGCTCAGGTCCTCCTATTCCTACATAGGTGCTCCCTCCTCTGCTCAGGGTGGCAGGGGTCACTGTAACAAAGAACAAGGGCAGGATTAATCAGCTACTCCTACGGGCAAACAGCATCAGCTATAGCTTCTGCGTACGCTGGAGCCCCAGTGTCACAGACACAAAGTGAGCTGAGCCCCTCTCATGGTCACAGAGGTCCCTGTCAGGAGGGGCAGGGTGCTGGTTGGTAAACAAGCACCACCCACCCTGCAGTCAGTGGCACAAGCTTCTTGCTGAAGCTAAGGTTTCAAAATAGTGTTTTGGAAGCGGGGACATACTCAGATATGCTACGTTTGTCTGTATGACATGGCCAACCTTCTGGCCATTTTTCTACCACGGCCGCTAGGACTCCTTGGTGTGAACCCTGATGAACATGTTTCGTGTGTTAATGGAACAGGAGACTAAAACGCATCTAGTGGTCATAGAATATTAACCAGCAACGACCTCCTCAGATCTGAAAGCACTTGCTAGCAGCGATACTACTGTAACACCTGGGCCCACACTGCCCTGCTCTTTCAGCCTAAACCCATCCTATGTGGTTCTGGCAAACAGGTGGCAAACCTACACGTTCCAAGCACCAAGATTTTAGCCTTATTTTTTTTCAATGCTTCCAGAACCACACAGTGAAGAGAGCAGGACGGGCAAGACCAAATACCTGTGCTATGTGAACAGGGAGAAGGGATCACCATTTAAGCTGATCACTCAAAAGAACCTGTTACTCTGTTCCCCCTCCTTCCCCTACCCAGGGTGAACTGCAGAACTACAGACCTCCTACAGAGGGCAGGTCTCGGGTCTTCTTCCAGAGCTGTATCTGCTGCTGTATCTGGCACATCCTCAAAAGCCTGGCCTGTTCTTTGGCACAGCCTGACCTTGGCTCACAACCTTGACAACCATTTCAACAGCATTTTCCATTCCCTTCTCTCAGTCTCTTGCTGCCCTGATGTTGTAAACTTGCATTTCTGGCTCCACAGACACACAAGGACAGAGAAGCCTGCTTAGTTCAGCCCAGGCAGACAATCTTTCTTCTGCCCTCTTTCCTCTGAAAGCAGCTGGATTCAAGGCTTCACTGAGCTGTATTATCATATTTGTCCTAGCACTGTTCAGCACAAAGTGGAGTCCTTAAGGACCAGCATGGTCGGAATTTCATATGAAGGAACAACTGCATCTCCACAGCACACCAATACTCACCAGTACACACACACTCACCTAAGCCAAGGGCTGAACACTCATCACAGCAGTTCAAGAGACACAATCCCAAACAAACAGATGCTGGCAGGTGCTGAGCGTTGCCTACTCCCCCCCCGCCCCCCCTTTTTTTCCCCCCATGGTTTACCACACTTCAGGTACTCAACACAGATGTCTAAGGCTGGAGGCAGTTAAGACTCCCTGGGTTTCCTCTGCAATGAACAGTGGGTGCAGGGCTCAGAGCCCTGGCCTAGCTGCTCTGATTGGCCCCTCTTTTCTTAACAGAGAATTTGCTAGCTCAGAGCTGAGCAAGTCTCTTAGTGGATACCTACCAGCAGACAGTGTTAACTGCCCCCAGCACTGGCAAATATATTTGCACAGGCTTCTTCGAAACACAATTCCAGATGAGCACACTTCAGAAAGAGCACTGACACCATCACAGGAGGACTTGCATGACCCCACTCTATCATCCCCATCAGAAACATCCTTTTCAAAAAGCAGTAGCAGCAGCGGGTGGCTGGCACTGCTCAAAGCAGTGTGAAGTTTGTGCTCTCCAGAAAGCTGTATAACAACAATAAATATAACGAGATATGTCTGTAATTGGCTCCTGAAATACATACTGACTATCCTGACAGAACAGCCT